ATTGTTGTTATCACATTTCAGACGTTGTGCCCTCCAACCTTCCTCAGATGTATATTGATCTGGATAACCTACATGGAATTCTGAAAATGAACACTTTATTTAATCTATGGTAGTAAACTGTTCTCATTCCACTGCCCATGTCTCAAAATATCACCTATGGAACCACGGCCTAGTGGATTAAAACATTGGTTCATGGAATTGGTGGCAGTGTTTGTGAGTTCTATGCCTGGGCTGGGCAGTATATACTTGGAAACAGGGCAAGCAATAACTGAGCAGTACTAAAAATAAGAACTAGACAATATCTTTAGACATGGGCAGTGGAATGAGAACAGTCTTCCCACCATAAACTAAATAAAGAGTTCAGTTCAGAATTGCCTGTAGGTTACCCAGAGCATTATACACCGGAGTAAGGTCAGAGGGTACAACAGCTGAAATGTTGTGATAACAACAAGGATGAGGATAATAGTTTGAATAACTAGTATTAATAATCCTGAAAGATTTGCACAAAACATACTCAGTGACATCCTCTGCTAGCAAAGATGTCGGGGGGAATAAGACAAGGATGTGGCTTCTCAATACACTTATTCAACCTTTACATCAAAGCAATCCTGAGAAAATTTAAAGTCTTATTAAAATTCAATACAGGTAGCCATAATCTTAAAATAACATATGCAAGTGAAAGTGTTGATAGCAAACAAATTAAAGAAACTACAAAAACTCCGAGAGAAGGTAGTAAAGGAAAGCCAGAAGAAAGGACTAACTATCAATTGTAAGACAGAATGTATAGCTGTCAGCAAAAGGAACAGCCCAAGATGAGAATTATGAAAAGTCAAGCAAGTACAAACATTTAACTATTTAGGTCTTTCAAAAGAGGACAGAAAGTAAGATACTAAATCCCCAAAACACACTGGAATAGCAAAAGATGCCTTCCAAAAGTTAAAAATAGTATTAAGACACAGGAAAATTTTGTTAGAAAAAAAAAAAAGAGAGTACTGAACTGTTATGTAATATATTGTTTCTCCTATATAGAAGTGAATGGATGGAGGAGAAACTTTACACAGCAGAAATGTGGGCCTACAGAAGGATGCTGAGAATAACATGGACTGAACATATGAACAGTAATCAAGTTTTAAAGAAAATGTAAAATCAGAGATAGACAGTGGAAATTTCTAGAACACATGAGCAAAGAGGGCTTGGAAAATTTGACACTCACAAGAGAATGAATGCAAAAAGGACAGAGAAAGGAATCAAATAAGAAATCATAGTTTGGGTCTCCTAGTGTTTTTAAAGAGTAACTTTATGTGAAGGGATCATAAAGAATGGGGATTTTAAAAGAAAATAAAAATTTCATGCAAAATAAATGTAAACAAACTATGAAAATCTGATGCCTATATGAAGAAAGATTACGCCAAATTAAGGTGTCGAATGAAGATAAAATAATTTCATTATTTCTAAATTCTTATAACTTTTACATACATAGGACACTGAAGGTAAAAGGACAAAGGCCTAAATCCCTCTGCAGGAGCTAACCTGAAGACCACCTAATGCAAATCACATGATTTTTTTAATCTGTAAATAGGTTTCTTTTGTCTCTTCAAATATTTTAAGCTCATTATGATGGCAATTGACAATACAGCTCACTGGCATCATTTGTGACCCAATTCTCTTTCTATTCAAAATGGCTGGCACTGGATAAATCTGCTTCTCAGAAATTCAAGTTGTAAACACTTAAAATAAGTAAAAATAAAAATCACTATATTGACTAATTGTAAAGAAAAATATTTTAAGAATCTGAAAAGAAAGGAAAAGAAAACTCAACCAATCTTTTACAGATTGAAAATATTTCCTTTCATAACTCAAATGAAACGATATAATAAAGAAACAATACGATAAAAAAACACAGAGAGAGAGAAAGAGAGTAAAAACAAGAGAGAGGAAAAATAATGGTTTTGCTTGGTATAATCCAGCCTTTACTTCTTATTCTGGGTACCATACTATAAAAGAGCGATCAACAAACTCACATCTTTAAAGCCAGTCCTTAAACTTTGTGAATTGGGACTCCCTATTGTTCAAAGAAATTTATTACAACAAAAAACATCACCTTATTTAGTATGTTCTCTGCCTGAAATAATGCAAATATTTCCAGTAAAATCAATCATTGATAATTTTCCCTATGGAAGACCAGACACACAAAAATATCTGACTACAGAAAACTGGCTGTGAGATTCTCCTTCAGAAGAATTCTGTCTTTTTGCCATCTTTATAAATACAACACATTTAATAATTATTTTTTTACTATTGGTTTTTGTTTTTTTATTCCTAGAGACAATTTTTGAAACATGAGACGACAATCACTCATTTTCAGTTTCAGTAGCAAATATGAGGTGGTGTTCCTCTCACTGAGCCTAACACTCATCTTTAACTCAAAGTTATTAACCTAGGCTGGTTGGCAACTAAGGCTAAAGATCTGTGCCTGCCATTTATTCACAGTTGGGAAAAACAATGGATAAAGGCTCTCCCCACACACACACAAAGGGGCGTGACTGCAAAATAAACACATATGGTCTCAGCTCAAACTATGAGATGCATTTGAACCACGGGAAACCATGGGAAATTATTTAAAAAAAGTAAAAATAAAAAAAAAAATTATCTAACAGAACAGCAAATAATGAGAGCACAAATTAAAGAGAAGTCTCAGTTTTCAACAAGGCTGTCAAAGATTTTGGTCAGGGGCTCCATTATATGATCCACTTTGCAATGTTCCTCAGTACATTTCTAACATGTAGATTGGTAAATTAACAAAGAACTCTTCTTTTTTAACAAGGGGAAAATTCTAACATTTCACACTTATTGCAGGAAAATGGGGCCTAGTTTCTCTCGGATAAACTACATGACATTTTAGTAATAAAAATACAATTAACACAAAAACCTAAATACCTTTGTGTGCTGTTTGCACATCTTTATGACTATATGTCGTATTTGCATGAAAATAGAGTTTGATGAAACCACTTTCCCATCCCAAAAGTCATACAACTGCAACATTGGTACAGATAGTAACGAGAAAGATAATTACCCTACTTTTAATGGTGGAAAAAAAAAAAAAAAAAAAGAGAGTTCTAACATTGAGAGTAATGAAAAGCTGTCTGAAGATAGGAAATAAGCAAGTACACAAAAATAGAAAGATTAATAAGACAAGGATATGTTTTTTCACTAGATTTATTTAATCTATCCAGTGAGACATTTCTAAGAGAAATAAGAATCCTACCAGGATTTTTTAATATGCAAAAATAGGAAGTGTAGTAAGACAAGTTTGATTTGGTTATTTTTGTTTAGTGGCACATCAACCCCTACGGGTTATTTAATACTGAAATCTAAATATCTTGCATTCAATAAGACAAGGATATGTTTTCTCACTATTTTTACTTAATCTATACAGGGAGACAATCCTCAGAGTACTAAGAGTCCTACCAGGATTTATTAATACACAAAAATAGAATATTGCAAGCCTTTTGCTAAACGATCACTATTTTTATAGCAAATGTTCTGACAAGTGACATTCATTACTTCCACAAGTCCAGAACTTCACAGCTAAGATACACCTTGCTATGTACATTGGAAGGAATCATCCACATTCCCTTCATATTCCATTTGTAAGGAGGAAGTTCCATTTAGACAGATTCTTCCCAAGAACTGCTACTTTGTGCAAGAGACTCCCAAGAAGATGGTTCTCCATTCAGTATAAGGCTTATGGCCACATCAAGTTGAAACACAGGTTTCCACAAATCACCAAAGTTAAGCAACATTGAGCCTGGTCAGTACCTAGATAGGTGACCACTTAGGAAAACCAGGTGCTGTAATTTTGAGTGGGTGACATATAGACAGGATTGGTAATCAGAGAGCTAAGTTCCAATTCATGTTGGGTTTCTTATATTCACACACACAAATACACTTGGAGAAAGTATGAAACCACCTCTTCTTCCCCTCCAGCTATGGGTTAATTAAAAAGAAATTTGACTAAATCATTATGATCTATAAAAAAAAAAAAAAAAAAAATTTAAATTTAAGAAAAACAAAACTCTTACAATCTAAAAATATTTTCTGATTTAAATAACCTGCAAAGGGTTGATAAGCCATAAAAAATGAATCAATCACTAATCTTAACTGCTTCACATCTATGGTCAACTTTATATCCTCAATCTGCACTTCTAACCACCTCTTTTTTACATTCATACAAAAAAAACTCATTTACTAATTATTTACCTTGATGGCTCTTGAGCATTGAATTGAGTAAACAATAAATGTAAAAATAAATTAAAGCTTTCTGAATTCTTTACATGAATAATTATAGCACCAGCCAAGATTCCAACAGTAACTACATACCAAAAGACAATTCTTCATTTGAATTTATTTCTTTATTGTCTGTAGAAGGGCATGGTTTTGTGTAATGGTACCTCCCAGTATTCTTGTAGATTAAATGAAGGGTCCAGCTTGTAATTCCCTGTAGCCTACCTGGGTCGATATACACCTGATGCTAAAACATTGTGATAACAACAAAGACAAGGACATTAGTACGCATGGAAATAGTGTAAATATCAAAGACATGTTTGTAAGTTCAACAATTCTTTAATTCTAAAAGTTTTCAACCTAATTTAAAAGTTTAATTCCAGTAAAATATCACAATATGTCAACATCTTTATATTATATATATATATATATATATATATATATATATATATATATATATATATATATATATATATATATACTTTGAAGATATAGTGTTAAAGCTAAGCACAGTGTCATGAAATGGCATTTGTATATTAAATACACATAATTAAGATAAATGTCATCAACTTACATCAGAGAAGTATTTCCTGTAGATATAAGCTACTCCAGCATGCAGGCCATGTCAGCCCTGTCCCAGAGTAATGTCGGAAATATTATGAATGCTACGTTTGAATAGTAAATGAAAGTAGCTATAAATGTCAATGACGTTTTCG